GTTCCCAATGAATTCAATTCCAGAATTGTACTCGGTGTGGGTACCACCAGTTTGCCGAGCCTCTTCAGGTGTCTGCTGCTGTTTTCATATGTCAGAGTATTTTTTTTGGTAGTTGATAGTGATACTTCTGTTCCTGTGTGTTTTTAAAGAGCAGGACTTAATCTTTGCTACCAGCTCTGGTCTTCTCTAAAGTTAACAAGACTTTTCAAGAAATAATTAAGGTGTAAGTATTGACTTTAAAACTGTTTCCTGCTCTTTATGCTCCATTATGCACCAGTTCCATGTTTAATTAAAACAAGTGGAACTTGCTCATTTAAAATATGACTTCTGGTAGTGGGATTTAATTCGGCGTTGACTACTGATAGTATTTCCCATCTAGGTCATCTTTTTCATGCAGTCATTCAGTCCTGTTTGGACTGGGTGGAAAAAACATGAAAGCAGGCTTAACTAGTACTGTATCTGGAGATGAAACAAGATTGGTTCTTATTTAGGCATTACTGCAATGGAACCATATTTTTAGTTGCTTGATTCACTTTTTTGTATTTCAGTTTGATTCCTGTGTTCTGTTGAGTTAGTCTGGGAAGGACTGTGTCCCTGCTGAGACCTCAGCTCAGCGAACATATGAAAATAGCTGAAGTGAATGTTCATCTTGGACAGTGATGAGTTTGGTTTTTTTTCCTTGTCTGTTAGTTTTATCCTTCAGTGCAGGAAAACCTGGGATCTTTTCAGACGTGTATTTCTGTATATGCTTATTTTCTTGTCTCAGTCTTGATAAGAAGGGTTGGATGAAGACAGATACCTGTTGGCTTAGTAGGAGTGACAGATGAATTAAGGACAAAATGAGCTAGCATTGAAAGCTGAAACTACCAGTGACACATTGATGGGTGGAAGAAGATGCATAAAACCCCCAAAAAGTCAAGTAAGTGTGTGAAGGTCACCTCTGTAGCACCTAAGATGGAATTCACATTTCTCACATTAGCGCTGTCAAGACAAAGGCAAACCAAGCTTATGAGGTATGTTTTGAAAATCAGGAAGGTTTGAGATGGTGGGAGTTTTATATTGCCACTTCACAGAAAAGCGTTTTGGTGAGCACACTTTTCCAGGTATGCTGCAATCAGCTTTTAGGTGCTTCAGTAGTAGGAAGTTTATAGAACTTCTGCTATCAAGTAGCTCAAAGTGTGTATTTGGTGAAAGAGTAACTTACGGTGAATAGGGGTGTTACCTGGAAAACAGGCAACGCTTGAGAGGTGAAACTGAAAGAGAGTAGATTTAGATTGGACATAAGGAAGAAATTTTTTTACAATGAGGGTGGTGAGACACCGGGGTTGCCCAGAGAAGTTGTGGATGCCCCATCATTGGAAGTGTTCAAAGCCAGGTTGGATGGGACTTTGAGCAACCTGATCTAGTGAAAGATGTCCCTGCTTGTGGCAGAGGGGTTGGACTAGGTGATCTTTGAAGGTCCCTTCCAACCCAAACCATTCTATGATTTGTGGCTTCTAAATTAAGTGAATTTGCAGGGAACAGAGACGTCAGATGGCTGGAAAAGTTCAGCAGTTTTAACCACATTATGGGAGAGGTCCTGTAAGGAGTGGGAGAAGGCTGTTGGTGGCCTTATGTGTATTTAAACTGCTTGGACTGAGGGTGCAATCAGGATTTGAAGCAGTGGCTCCTGTGCTGAGTTCAAGGTTTTAGCCTGCTCACTGCAGGGCAGGCCGAGTTGTTTGTAGGTGGAATAGTTAATTTAACAGGCTGTATTTTCTGTCAGTACCATACTGAGTTTTGCTGGGAAAAGATTAAATGTGTGGTGAGAGTGGGTAGCACATGTGACCCTAGTATAAGAGGAAAAATTGATGAATCTATAGTAGTCTAACACTGGTCCCATTATTCTTGTACAGTGCAGTAGACATGTATTTTGGCTGAGTTCAAATATATGAAATGGCAAGTGATGTCTGACCTGCTGGCAGATTTTATTTTTCCTTTTTAAAACTTTTGTGTGACTTGATTTCTTGCTAGATGTCTTTTGTCTGCTTTGTTAAAGTAATTCCATAAGCATTTGTATTTCACCCAATTTCTAACCAAAAACATAACTATCAATAAATAGCGCCATTTCTCTTCTGAGCTTTAACAGGGAAAAGGTGACAGTTGTATAGCTTTCTTTGGAATAGATTTTTTTTTTTAAGTAGAGTCATTTAACTGCTGTACTGTGTTTAAATGCATTAAATTCCTGTTAATTAGTATTTATCAAAAGAATACAAATTGCTTTCTGCAATAAAATAATTTGAGTTCTTGTGTCAGTATTGGGAGTAGGTCCTGGTATTGCCAACGGAGTTGAACTTGTTTCTAGAGAATACAAGATCAGCCACCTGTACACCGCTCTCGGTCAAAGAGCATAAGAAGACAAAGCTTGAAACTGCACAGATCCTGTTATTTTTGGATTAAAAAGGGGATGTTTTGATTAATGGCGAAACCTGGTTTACTCTGTTATCTTGGCAGCATTTTCAGAATGTTTGTCTAGCTCTCCTCATTCATAACTGGGACAAGTCTGAATCATAAGTGGGACAAGTCTGAAGTACTAATAATATTCAAGTACTTCACAGTCAGCTTGTTACATATTGAAGTATGACTGCAACAAATAGAGCAGCATTTTAATTAGCTTATGCTACTCTGAGTTCCAGACATACATTTCAGATGTGCGGGATATTCCACTGTTTTTCATACATCTTTACCAAAAGAACAGAATAAGTGGGCTATTTTGTTGTTGAAGCTAGGAATTTTCTCTAGCTAGCAGTCTCTCTCATTTCGAGAAGGGTTGTATTGAAATATTAGCTTTCTTCTAAAGTGCTAGGATTAACAGATAAGTTAATGCCCATATCTGGCTCTGGCTAGTGCTAAGATTGCTGTTAAAGATTTGACTCATTTGTAGTAGTATGAAGTCTTGTGTTAATTAAGCTGAAGTAGCTAAATTTGTTAATAGTTGCTAGATGCTTTCCATCTGACTATTTTAAGCTCTCAGAAGTGGTAGGTATTTGCTATCCAAACTTTAGATATGGGAAAATAATAGTTAAAAGCAGTTGTTCTGCTCATCAAATTTGGGACTTGTTTCATTACTGCATTGTGAGACTATTGCAGCCCTCATTGGTGGTACAAGTGTTGGATCATCTTTTCTTGCTTTTTTCCTAGCATGTAGGAGTTGCACAGCATATTTATATTTTCTGCTATGGTTTATCATGCAAATGTTAGTCTTGCTTCTGTTGTATCTCAAGGAGGGGAAGATAGTCCTTCTATTTCTAGTTTACCACCCTTTTCTTGGTGATGTAGCTTCTAGATTAGTGAAGCTGATCTTGAGAGGCAAAAAAGGAAGTAAACCCATATTTTTTTTTTTCCCTCTGCTTTTCTGTTTAGATGATCTTTAAATAACTTGGGTAACAATCACTAGTAGGAACTACACTCTAAAATCCACATCCCCTCTTGGAGTTGACAGAACCTGGGCTATGCCCTTGTTTGCTGAGTTCGGAGGTCAAGGTGGCCTTAGATGTTAGTTGCAGATGGTTTTCTCTTGTGACAGAACTCTTTTTTTTTTTTTTTTTTTTTTTTTGGAAAGAGTTCATTTTAAAAAGGTCACCCATTTGCTGCAACAGTTAAATGTGAATTTAGAATAGGTGCACCTTCTATACTCTTGTTTGGCATGTCAGCCTCTGGCCAAAGGAAAAGCTTGCACTTATCTGCCTTGACCACAGGGCTGTCTATAAGTAATTTTCAGTTTTCTTATGCTCTTGCCTGTGAAACTTGTAGTTCTAGAGGTTTGTGTGGTGTATAACCTTCAACTTCATTGGAAACTTTTATGGCTGGTAAGTGATTCAGTGATTGAAAAACTGTACTGCATTTCCTCAGCCATTGTAGGGTTCTCCCTTATTTCTGGGTGAAATGTATAGCAAATTACCTTATGTCCCAAATACACAGCCAGGATCTTAAAGGAGGAACAGAGCTGTCTGTTATCAGTTAAGAGCCTTAAATCTTTAACCAGCCCAAATAGTATGTGCTTTTAACACGTGCAGTGTCTTTAATGAACAAAGTGGGAGATGACATGAGGATAGCTGTGTAACTACAGGTGTCTGACATTAATGCAGTGAATCCATACGGAACAAGAGAGTGGAAGATGCTGTGCTTCTCGGAGAGTGTGTGGAAGAGCTGTCTTCCACTTTAACTTCCCATTGATTGATGTGTACTGAAGCAGAAGCTCTAATTGCCCACTATGTCACATTAAGCAATGGCACAATTTGAAGAATCAATTTCTTCTAATGTTTGTCGCTGCTAGGAAGATGCTATCCAACATCTGCATGTAAAGCCCTGTAATGGATGTTATTGACATCACTTAAGAGTGTTGTCTTGTAATCCAATAATGTGATCTGTATGCAGACCTACTCTTCAGGGTCTCTTTTCTCCCTGTCCTTCCTACTCACATATTCTGGAAATGTTTTTAAAAGTGCCATTTTATTGGTTCCTGTCCCTCTGCCCCACAATCATTGCACTGGAAATAACAAACTAATTTAGTTTGTTATAGGCTGTCCTTCAAAATTTAGATCTCTCGTCACAGTTGCTTGGGTTGTTGATCCATGGCATGTATATGCAGCAGGGATATCTCATCCCTTCCTCCCTCCACCCCCTGTTGTCGGTGTAAGCCCTACTCTGCATTTGGTTAAATGTAGGGTGACCACTTGTACTTATATCCCATGGAAACTTCATACTAACATTTGCCTCAAGGAGGGTCTGGTTTGTTCTTGTTGATCTTAAAATAGACCAAGAACCTTAAGGTACCTTGTCTCCTGGATTGCAGTAGCACTTAAAAGGAATTACTGTAGATATACTTAAAACTTTTTTTTCTGTGAAGACTAGTGAAAGTGATGCTTTTTCTTTTTTTCCCCCTCCCCCCTTTTTTTTTTCTTTCTGCAGGGCATGTAGTTGCAACATGTCAAATCTAGTTTTACAACAACTTTATCCAAAGAGCTGTTATCAGTGGCTGAACATGATCATCCTTAATGAAAGGGGAGTACCTCCATGCAGCTGACTGTGCTTATTGTTTGCAGAACTGTTAGAGGTACAAAGCAGAAGCATTTGCTGCAGATTTTGGGGTGATATTTTCTATTTGGAGACTGCAGTAAATGAAAATGGAATCTGTTTTGTACTGTAGTAAATTTCTGTGATCAGCTTTTTACTGTCAGTCTACGTAGGAGATCTCAATTGTGTGGCAATGATTGAACACTTACATACATGGGAAGCTTTGATATGAGAATCTTTTGTTTCATCTTAGCAACAGGCACTGTCTACTTCTATTTTTGTTGTATGAGGCTATATACAGAATCCTGATGTTGGTTATAGCCTTTCACTTGCACTGAAACAAGTCGTTATAGTGAAAACTTAAACCACTGTCTAAATCTGAAATACCTGTGACACATTAGAAATCAATCACTTGAATCAAACTGCTTTTCAGTGTTTCTCAGTGTAAAATCAGTAGTAGTTCATTAATGTAATATAGGGAGGGAAAAAAAAGATCTTTTCTTTTTGAAGTTTTTTGTCTGTTTGTAGTTTTCAGAGTGAATGGAGGCATCCTCAGTTCTGTGTACTTCGACTACACAATGTATATTAGCAGGCAAAATGGAAGCTGCAAGATCAGGTCTCTCTGAAAATCATAGATGTGCTGATTTGATTATGGTTGATAACTTGAAGCATTTTGGTTTCTTCTGACCCATAAGAAGTACATTTCTCATTTATCTGAATCTTAGGTGGGAGTTACTTCAGAGAATTCATGTGGTCTGGAATCTAGACGTACTTGCACCCCAAAATGAGGGATATAGCAACAAGAGACCAGTTCTTCTTGATAAATAGTTAAATTGGCTTGAGTTATCACTGAGAAAGCTGTTCTAGGTACCATTAGTGGTAGGATGCTTCCAACTTGACCAGTCATAGCTCTTTCAGAATAAGAGGAAGGTAGATATAAACTTCAGGGAAAACACCAATAGAAGGTACATGGAAATAATAATTAAAAAATGCCCCAACTTCCCAGCAGCTCCCCATGAGTCACTCTTGGTAGTAATTTTTTTTTTTCATCTGTTGATGAGGGTCCCTTTGGTATTGCTCAACTGCACCAAGTCACGCTTCTCTGCATTCTCCTTGTTGTCTGGCAGCACAGCTAAGTAGTCATTCAGGTTTAAGTGGTGACGTGCCAGGTGGACTGTCTTGGTCATCTCTATGCTGTCCCTTTAAGCCTTTCCACCTTGTCATCTATCTCTTTGTGCCAGTTGTTTCTGTCATCAGTTTTGTCTTGTCACTTCTCTGCTTCTGCATCTTTGTGTTGGTTTTTTTTGTTGTTGTGGTTGTTTCCCTGTCCCTCTGTCCGCTTCTGTCATCTCTCTGAGGTCCTCTGCCCTCATCCTGGGCTCTGCTATACTGTGTTCCTCCGGCTGGTTTTAAGAATGTTGCCCTATTGCCTCAGTGTTACTAAGTGAAAAATGGACATACACACAGGAAGGGAAGAGCTCACATCAGGTTGCTTCAGTGACTGCTGACGTTCAAGTTGGTTATAACTTTTAGGCACTTGTAGCCCTGATCCTCTCATCAGAGGGTTAGCCAGAACCAAGAATGAGGGAATGGGGCTAAGGAGGTCGACATTTATAGAAGAGAGCTTGTAGGTGGCTGTAAGAAAACCTTGTAGCAGTATGCAACTAACTTGTTTCCCTAGCCCAGGAAAGGCGTTGAAAAAGTTTACATGCAGTATAGAGAATGTTCTTTGTCAATTTAAAATGTGTGGTAAAGCATCAGACCAAAATTTGTGCCCCTATGTGCCATTCCCACAGATGCCCTTCAGCATCCTGTTACGGAGTCTGGAGATCAAAGACAACAGTGACAGGGCTGCAGTCATCCATTAGCTGGTTTGGAGTAAGGCTTTGGGAGCAAGTCCTTTTAAATTTCTAAAAGAGCGGTAACAAAGGTAAGCAAACCTTTACTGCACAGTGTAACGGCTTTGACTAAGCAAATACAGTTCCGATAATGCCCAGAAGCATAGTAGCAACATCAGTAACCATCTAACTGGCTGCAAATACTTTTTTTTTTTTTCCCCCAGCCAGCAGGACAGAGCAACAGCAAGATGGTTGTAACAGTGGTCCCTGAATAGCCTATCAAATCTGATTAGTCACAAGACACTATTTTAATTAAACCCTCTTTGGAAAGGAGGTGATGAAATGTGGCTGGCAGCCTCTTCTAGTGTTACTGTGTGCAGTACTTAACAATTCTGTTTGCTGACAGTGCCTTCTGCAGTAATGGTATCTTAATAAGTGCATGTTCACAGTGCATCAGGAAGAGCTGGTGTGATATAAACTCAAATGCTGCCTGAATCTAAAGTGCGACTGTCTCTCTGGAAATGATCCATTTCATTATTAGCTTGCTATTGATGTGCCATAGCTAGTTCTGTAGTTAAAATAAGGTGTTTAATATGGCAGAGGAATAATTTTTTGCGCTGCACCTGGAAGTTAATGCAGTTGTGTTATGGTTTAACCCCAGCCAACAACTAAGCTCTACACAGCTGCTCACTCACTCCCCCCCGGTGGGATGGGGGAGAGAATAGGAAGGGTAAAAGTGAGAAAACTCATGGGTTGAGATAAAGACAGTTTAATAGGTAAAGCAAAAGCTGCACACGCAGGCAGATCAAAACAAGGAATTCATTCACTGCTTCCCATCGGCAGGCAGGTGTTCAGCCATCTCCAGGAAAGCAGGGCTCCATCATGTGTAATGGCTACCTGGGAAGACAAATGCCATCACTCCGAATGTCCCCCCTTTCCTCCTTCTTCCCCCCAGCTTTATATGCTGAGCATGACATCATATAGTGTGGGATATCCCTTTGGTTGGTTGGGGTCAGCTGTCCCGGCTGTGTCCCCTCCCAACTTCTTGTGCACCCCCAGCCTACTTGCTGGTGGGGTGGGGTGAGGAGCAGAAAAGGCCTTGGCTCTGCGTAAGCACTGCTCAGCAATAAGGAAAACATCCCTGTACTGTCAACACTGTTTCCAGCACAAATCCAAAACAGAGCCCCACACTAGCTACTATGGAGAAAATTAACTCTACCCCAGCCAAAACCAGCACAACGTGCCTGTCCTGCAGTAGGATTTTACTGCAAGGTTGCCAACAAAAGCAAGATACGTATTGCTTATGTGGGGTATTTTGACACTGAGGACACCTCCAAGGCTTTATGCAGCTCCAGATTGATATACTACTGCAAAACTCCCTGGATGCTAGACGTGCACAGCTTGGTTCTGCAGAATTCGTACGCGCTGTTACTAATGTCCCTGGAGCAAACTGATAGTGTCACAGTAACTTAGTGTTCAGTTACTTAAGATCAGTGTGTGAGATGGTAAACTTAGTATGTCCTTGCAACAGCCTGCTGGAGAGATAAATTATCATTCTAAAAATGACCTATTTTCTTGAGGTCCTGAATTTTCTTTTCAATGTCCTTTATGTCGGTACACTCTGGAATAAGCTGCTTCTGGTGAATGAGGTAGACAGCGTAAACTGCATTGCCTGTAGATGACTGGTCCTGCATTGAAAAAACTTCCTTGTCATTTGAGTTGCCACAGTGAGGAGGTTATTTCCGCTCATCATAAGTTTTAAAATCCTTTAGAAAAGGAGCACTTGCTTTTCTGTCAGAGATAGTAATTAGAAGAAGGAAGAACTTGGAGAAAGTAACTAGAAGAAAGAAGAACTTGGAGAAATTTAACGAAGTCTCTAGAGGCCTTGTCCCTAGTTCAGCTCTGCTGTAATAGTGGTGGGTGATGGGCAGCCATAGTACATGCTTGCAGGTGGTGCCTCACAGTGTCCGGTGACATACAGAGGACTGGTGAGGTATGTGAAGGCTGTATGATTTCACATGTGGCCTGGCTTTTTCAATAACAAATCAAGTTGACATCTTAATTCCTACTCTCACACAGAGGTTCTAGCAACATAGCAGCTTGTCTGACAGTGTGATCCGGGTCTGAAAGGTGCAGCGTGTTTCATGTGCTGTAGTCTGCAGTCTGGTCTTCTCCTCTGCATCACTGCGACCAGTAAAGCCCACTCAGCTCTAGTAGTTGACATGCAACTGTACCGGGTGGTCTTGTGGCTTTGCCCTTGACAGCCTTTCTGAGATGACAGATGACTGTTTTACCTCCTTTTTCTTACGTCTTTGAAGCCTCAATGTTTTGTTTGCTTCTGAGAAGCAGTTGCCAGCTAGTGCCAAAACCAGTTCTCTGGCTTAGTGGAGTAGTTTTGGATGTAATACCAATGGTGAGAGAGATGGTGAGGTGTGCTGAGAAGAACCTGACAAACATCGAGCAGAATGACACATGGCTTTTATGTGCAAGGTATGCCGGGAGTTGCCCAGCATGACTCACTCCCCCATAGCCCAGCGTCTGCTCACTGTGTTTCATGAAGTCTGGTTGCACCTGGGTGATGTTCTTCGTACAGCTTTGACTTTAGCCGTGTGTTGAATTCCCGTTAGCCAGTAGGGTTGGTTCACCTATTGATTTCAACATAATGTTGAAAGGGACCTTTGCACAGCAAAAGGTACTTTCCTAAAGTACTTGAAACTGGCTCTTCCTGACCACAGATGTGTCAGCAGCTGCCAGGAGGAATAGCTAAGATGTCAGTGTAATCCTTACCTTGTGACACCCTTCCTTTAAGTTAACATTTGCAGTTGGAATCTGCAATGAGGAAACAGTGAGGCTAAGAGACCTCAATTGAAGAATGATGGGTGTGAATGTTAGACCTGCTCCAAGTTGTGCTTTGAGTGCTGCCTGCTGCTGAGGGGTGTACCAAATAACTTCATGTTTTTGAAGAACAGCTGTTGGGCATTTCAGTCTATGAGCTGGAGGACTTCAGGAACAAAGGGCAGCTCTTATTCATTATCATGCATAATGTCAAAGGAGGACTTACAAATTCAGTTATTCAAAGAATTATGCTGTGGTGTCTTGAGAAGGATCTTGTGATGTACTTCTAATCTAGCAAAAGAACCAGTTATGTTATTGAACACAGCATAAGCGTCCTGGAGCAGGGTTTTAGCTGACAACTAATTAGACAGCTAGTTCTATCTTAAACAACTCTTTTCTCAGGATAGGCCTGCTCCGTGTTAAAAGCTGGCTAGGCACTTCTGTGTTTAACACCTTGGCCATGTAGGATTTGCATCCAAATTTTAAAAGTTGTTAGTAAAATTCTGTGGGCAGTGGATGAGGACTGTTGTTAGCATTGTTTTCTTGTGTGTATCCAAAAATATCTTCCGAATGGTACCGTTTATTGTATACCTGTATTGTTATCTGTCTAGACACCCAGTGTGTCTAGACAAGTGCCACACTGGCTAACTGCGTACCCAATATGATAGTATCCCTTTTTAGAGCATCATGGATTAAACTGAAGAGGATCAGTGTGGTATTTCCAGTAGGAAGGGCTATTCTTAATGCCAAGGGAGGCAGGGTGTCCTCCGTAGGGCTGGGACAGAGCAGCCTCTGAGCGCTGTGATCTGGAACTCTCTCTGCCTTCCTGATCAACCTGGCTGCTTCTTGGCTGTTTTTCTTTTTCTTATTCATTTTGCCATTTAGATTGTCAGACCCTGGGCTAAGTTATTTGTCTGCTCAGTCACTTCTCAAGGCTATAAAATAAGTTTGCTTATCTATCTGGGGAACAGGATAAACAGCAAGTGTCTGCAACGTGTCCCATAAGCTAGAGATAAGACTCTCTAGAACTGCGTAGGCTTACGCTGTGCTACATGTATAAATTGTTAAAGCTGTCTTTAAATGTTTTTCAGGTTCTAAATGGCTTCTAAGAAGTTGGGATCCGACTCTCATGGTAAGTGAAATTTGGCATCCTTGTCTTTTCAAGAGGATGAATCCTACTGTTGCTGCTGACTAAATGTCCCAGCCTAGACAGTCCATAGAGACTAATCTGTTTAGCCTCTGAGTAGTTTTTTGTTAGGAGTGAAGTGCCTTGGCTTCCTTCTTGCATAGTTGCTTGCTGATGCTGTGCCTGTTCTCTGGTTAAACTGAAATTCACCCTGTGACTGTTCCCTACTCCTTCATGGCAGAATAATACCTTCCCCCACTTCCCACTTCAAAATCAAAGCTGAACTACAGTTGTGATACTGATCTGATGCTTGCTGAAGTGGACGCTAGAGCTGTAGCTCCTTTCTATGGGAGTCACATGAGAAGTAGGATTGAAAGTGAAGCTTTTAATATATTGCTGAGCTATGCTTGCTTTTTGCTCAGCAATTTTTTTTTCACTTCAAAATCAAAGCTGAACTACAGTTGTGATACTGATCTGATGCTTGCTGAAGTGGACGCTAGAGCTGTAGCTCCTTTCTATGGGAGTCACATGAGAAGTAGGATTGAAAGTGAAGCTTTTAATATATTGCTGAGCTATGCTTGCTTTTTGCTCAGCAGTGATTTTTTTTTTTTTTTCCTAAATTGGACTAATCTTGTTCAGCAGGCAAGTGAAGAAGAGAACATCATCTTCTACATTTGAGATGTGTAGCATCATGCAGATGATTGGTATCATAAAAATTATTTGCCTGTATATGTGCTTATCTTTTAGAAAATGGGGTGTAATTTGAGAGGATTAATATTTCTGTGGAACATCAAAGTTCAGTTTGTTGTATGTAATGTAGCTTCTTCAAATCAGTAATCATTCAAGGCAATACTGGGAGGTTCATGTGAAATTTCTAACATGATTTTTCATGCTGTAGAAACTTCTGCTTTTAGAAACTCAGCCTTGATCTTCCTGGATAATCTTTCAGATAAGAGGGTCCTGGGGAATTCCGTTTTTCCTCAAGCTTTTTATTCAGTCTTGCAAGTGTAAAGTTGAAGTACAGAATAAGAAATGCCTCACTTAAATACATGGTTAAGGATTAATAAAAATGGCCTATCAACACTTAATTTTTAGATGGTCTCCTTTGCTGTGGCCCAGTGATCCTGCTGCAAGACAACGTCTTTATTAGATAGCTGCCAGCTCTTCATGCTTTTCTATTTGTGAATGGTCGCTATGAACACTCTGAACTGCTTGTCTTTTGAATCTGTTTTTATTTCTCTCTTCTTTCTGCTTCCTAAACCAGGCTAGCAAAGACACTGCTCAGAGCTAGAATTCAACATGTCTTAAATATTTCTCAAACCAGTATGGTGTGGTGGAACATGCTCCTGGCTTCAAATATAACAAAATCATAACAAATGGTACTGTAAGCTAGCTGGTTAACTTGTCTACCCTTTTGTGTACCCTCTGTTCCTAATGACACCAGCGACACTGTCACAGTACTGTTTCTGAGGAGTAGTAGAGCAACTTCCTTGGCTCATTATGTCTTATGAAATCAGCAGGGCAATTGTTTCAGTCTTCTCCAGGGTTGTTAAGAATTAATCCCACTAAGTGAATTTTGGCTTACTGTAAAGCATCTAGCCCAACAGCTACCTTCAGCTCAATGTCTCTGGCAGGCTGATGAAATCGGTCAACATAGCTGATGCATCTCTTGTACTTAATACTGAGCTGCTTATTAGAGGTTAGAAGACTGTTGTTGAATCACAGAATGGTTGAGGTTGGAAGGGACCTCTGTAGATAATCATGTCCAAACTCCCTGCTCAAGCAGAGCCACCTAGAGCAGGTTGCTCAGGACCATGTTCAGATGGAGATGAAGATGGGAACATAAGGTATGGGTGGAGAGAAAGGAACCCTTTTCCTGTCTGGAAGGGTATTCTTAGCGTACACCTGTAACTATGCCTAAGCATGTAACTTCAAATGCTCTCCTGTCATTTGAATAATTAGAAGGTCAAGCTTAAGTTCTAGTAATTAGTGGCATCTAGAAATGCAGCTCTCATCTGTTGCACAAAAAGCATGGGTTATACCAAGTGCAGTACGTTAATACTGCTGTCATCACTGTCACTATACAACTTGAAAGCTTTTAACTCCAATTTCTGAACAGTATGTAAGTGTGGTTTGTGTGACCACAAAAATGAAGTTCCACTTGGTTTCAAAACTGTTCCCCGTTCATAACTGGTAACTGGTTTTATCTGAAATGTTTCGATTTTGCTACCGAACTGCAGGACACTTCTATGAGTGGGCCAGTGATTTCTGCGTTACACTAAAGCGGAGAGAAATCTTATTCTTGTAGTAGTTCCTTGGGCCAGGAATATCATATAGTGCACAGTGTCAGAGATCAGGCTGACAGGTATAGTTTTGCCAGGGCTATTCTCAGAACTTCCTCAATATGCTTTTAACTGCTAAAAGGATGCAGTGGCTAACAGCCATATTAAATACCAGTTCGAAAAAAAACTTTAATTGCTTCACTTGAACATGTGACTATTGAAACAGTGGCTTGCATAATACTTTCTATATGTAGATTTTGCTTTTTGCTTTAGAATTTGCCAATTAAAACAATTTGCACCCTTACCCATCAGTGCATTCAGGCAGAAGGGTCATCTGTTTACAAAAAGAAAATGGTTCTTGGCTTTCTGGATCAGATTTTAACTTCACTAGACTAGTACTGTTCTGACTGGGCTGGAACAAAGTGAATACTATGTGCATCAGTGTTTTGCCTCAGAAAGACTTTTTACCATCAAATGTCCTGAAACACTTGGTGTGTTTCTTAATGTGTGCTTGCAGGTTTTGTAGCAGAGTTATATTCAAGATGAGGTTATTGCAGTGGTTGTTATTAAAAAATCAATATACTGGGAAGCAACTAGAAGGTTTTTAGTCCATCGTCTAGCTTCTGAGGTTAAACTGGCAGCTATCAATGCAGTCCATCTAGTCTAGGTGTGTTTAGCTTTTTTGTGGGTTTTTTTTTTTTTTTTTTACTGCATCAAACCAAAGAGTGTTGCTATGTAAATACCACAATGTGTGCTTGTACCCTCTGTGGCTAGTATCTGTTTCAGGCAAAGGTGGCAGCTGTGCAAGGGGAGGTGTCTACCACTTACTGTGTCAATAGGTCTAATAAGACAAGTATTTGCACACTGAGCAACTTGGGCTGTGAGATCGGTGCAGAGTGGTAATCCTGCTTCGCTTGGATCATCCCGCTTAGAGTAGGACTCGTGCCAGTGGGACTGAGCAGAGCATAATAGCAGCAGTCACACCAGCCTCTGAGCAGTCGGGAGATCTGGTTGTCTCTGACCTTGCCATGATTTACCACTCAGTGCAAAGGCTGCCACAGTTGCTATTTCTGCGTAAGCAAACACTTTGGCATATCCAGGTTCTTAGATTGCCAGCTCAAATACAATTTGGATGCCATGTTGCAAATAGTGGTGTTGGTGGCCAGTGAGGTGCCATCTGGATGCTGTGCTGTGTAATGCTTGAATGTGTGCTTCCCAGTAAGGATTGGTGAAAAAACCAATATATTCTGCCTGGAGCATTTTTTTGTCCTGGTGGTGCAGGTGGGATGTAGGTTATTCAGCCTGATGGTTTCAAAGCTGGAGGAAATACCACCTGTGTCCTAACAGGACCCTAGGACCAGCCAGTGTGGTGCATAGTATCAGAGCTCAAGTGATGTCAGCACATAAATGTTTAACTCCAAATTAGCAGGATGTTCTTGTTTTCAAAAGCTGCTCATCCTTTTGGAGCCTGTGGCTGCCTTGTTGTAGATGAGTCAACAGTGAAGGAACACAAACAGTACTTAAACTGTCATCTGAGTATGAAAATGAGTCACATAAAAATGGCAAGTCACAGCTCACTGAGCAAGAGGGTAGTCACTGAACACCATCTTAGATGTTGCCACTAATGTTTTTGGATCCGCAACACTCAAAGCGAAGTTACAAATGAGTGCTAGAGGAACACTTCAGGTTGTTATACACAGCCGGAAACCTTGCCTGTAATTCCAAAAGCTTAGACCAGTGATCCAGGCACCCTTCAGTTAATCGAGAAACTGAGTGCAAGTTATATTGTGGATTTTCTAATACTTCTTCACAGCAGCTCAAGGAAAACAAACACCCAGGGGAGTGGTTGAGTCCCCATCCCTGGACGTATTTAAAAGACGTGTAGATGAGGCACTTAGGGACATGGTTTAGTGGGCATGGTGGTGTTGGGTTGACGGTTGGACTCGATGATCTTAGAGGTCTCTTCCAACCTTAATGATTCTATGATTCTATAGTCTGGCTTCTTGGAGGTGGTTGAGCTCTAAGTGATTCTGCCTCGTGAGTTTGCAGGATGCTTGAAGAGTTTCATCCTAAAACGCTTTTTAAATACCACATGTAAGGGATAGATACAAAGGACAGATGGAGGACCGTGAAATAAGTCTGAGGCCTCTCACTGGAGTGATCACAAATCAGACAGCTGATTAAGTTAGATTGCCTTGTTTCAAAAATCAGAATTGCTATGCTAAGTAGTCTTGAGCTACTTCACTGTGTTAAAGTGGAGTGTCTAGACTTTGGGCCACTCTGCCCTTGTGACCACTTCTGTCCAAATGTTACTTCCTACTTGTATGCCAAAACCTGGATTTTTGTTTGTCTTAGCTGCTCTAAACCTGGGTCATTTTAAAGCCTGTTTAGAATATGACAAAAAATGGTGGATCTTTTTATAGGGACATAACAGAATACAGTGTTCAGGAGAGCTTCAGCTTCCAGTTGTGTAGGCATAGTCTTGTCACAGGGGAAGCTAATGTTGGGTATATTGACTTCAAAATCTGTTCAACTGTTGGATTGTTATGTTGTGGGTTTGGGGTTTTTTTAATAGTTGTGGGCTAGAACTTTAAAAACAAAAAAGGCAACAAAAAACCCCTCCAAAACCAAAACTGAGGCAAAGAAGTCCAAACATTCAATGTGTTTCTGGTCAAGCAACTTCCTTTGTATTAAGTCACCTGGTGTAGTTGGGGCAACAGCGATAAAATAGCTCCCAAATACAGAAATGTGAGTCATACAAAATTGAATACATTAATGTCGTAAGGTGTTTTTGATACAATTTCTGCTTTTGATCTTAGGGCCTTTCAGTTACCTTGATGATGTCCCATTTAAGATAGGAGACAAATTCAAAACCCCAGCGAAGGTTGGATTACCCATTGGTTTCTGCCTGCCTGATTCTTCTCAGCTTGTCAGAGAAGCCCAGGTAAGTGATGTGTTTTGCCTTTCCGCTCTCTTCCCCCTTGCCCCTAGCCCCCAACATGTGGTGCTGTAAATCACAAGCAGTCACAGTTTGCACACGTGTTCAAATGTTAGTCTTGTCGGTCCTGTAGTGTCATTTTGTATGCCAAGCAGTAGTTGCAGAAGATCTGTTAGAATGTATAGAAAGATAAAAATATGACAGGCCGTGCAAGAAGTTTCTTCTACTTATCACTTTAAAAAGCCTAATAGTATTTATTTTAGTGTATCTACTTCAAAAGAGCACAATGCTTTTGTGTAATAGTTATGGGTCTAAATGTTACTGTGACTAAATTCGAGTGGCATTTTTAAGAGGAAAAACGGTAAGAACTGATACACCCCTGCTATGGCATACTTGCAGAATCTTGTTTGAGGGTAACAGGTGTTTCTATGACCATATTTTATGGCTTCTCACAATAGTGGGATGAAGATAATAAACTTCCAGTTCTTGTTTTCTGTGCAGTTCTGAGTGGGAATTCTTTTCCAGCTGTAGGGCAAACAGGTTACAGCTTGGTATGCATGGCTTCCAGGTCTTTGAGGACATGTCTCTGTTACCATAAACTCTTGGTAGCATAAAATCAATTGCTTTAGCATAACTGTTGAAAAATCTAATCTCCAAATGCAGGTTGTGATACAGGAAATCTAATTGTACTATGTTGTCTCATTTGGATCCGTGATTTTCCTTGGTCAGTCCAAATTGATGATTGTTTTTGCTTCAGCTGTGACAGGTTGCTGTAGATGGTTCTGTCTCTTTTTTGACTTCTTTTTTTTTCCCCTGCCCTGCATATTACCCTATTACCCTACATCATGGCTTTTTCATTATAACCATTAAATGATTACCTGATTGTCCTAATACACATATTTCCACCCAGTTAAGCTGGTGTGGGAGAGCTAAAGGAGACTCTAATGTCCTATTGCTGGCTTCATTGTGCTGCATCTCCATTTTCCTGCCAAGCTGAGGCTCAAGTATAGTATGCCCGACTGGACTGCAACGCCTTGCATAATATGATGTGACTATGTAGACTATGCATCTCGCAGTGCAATTTGACTTTTTTACAGCTGTAGTGAGAGCTGTTTAAAAAAAAAAAGGGAACAAAAATTGCCCAAAGCTATATATTTTTATAAATACCCCCCATTTTTTTAATATAAAACATATATATGGCTTTGGTCAATTTGGCCATATATGATCATATACATACACACACACACAAAACTACAATAGCTCTGCTCAGATAGCAAAGAATGTGTAATGAGTAGTGCCCAGCACTTCTGCCAGTGAGTAGTTTTACAAAGTCACCTTGCTGATAAATTGTGTATCACGCCTCTTGGACTCTTAGAGCCTAAGGGAAGGGAAAACTGTTAATACAGGTGAGACAACAGGTCTCCAGGATCTCACTGGAGCCTGCTATAGGATGGGATGTGACACAACACATAGCGAGTCCCAGAAAATCCCAGTAGAGGCCTGGCAAGCCTTGCTGGCTCGTTGCTCTTCAGAGCGAGGAATTTGTATGACCTAGCAGTCCCATGGCAAGAGCTCTCCTGTTTGGTTGTGCCATATTCCTGGCAAGGATATCTTACGACTTCTTGTGAGTTGCAGGTAGGTTACACCCTGGACTTAGCTTGCAGGCTGTGTTCTCTGAACGTTTTGTGGTTATTTAAAGAGCATTTGAGGCTGTTCATTCTTCATAAGATATTAAAGCTTTAAGTAGATTTAGTCTGTTCAGAATTCTGTCCTCTCAACCAAGCCGCTACAGTGGCTAGTAAACTGGTAGCGAGTAGCTTACAAATGCCTTCCTGTGCTAACCTGGCCCTGAAGGAGCTTATGTTAAATGAGAAAAGCTTGTGGGATGCTGTCACACCAGTAACTGCAGCAAAATCTGGTACTGCAAGTAGTTATCGTCGGTGTAGCCAGTATATCCCCTTTGGCTGGTGAGCCATTGGCACTGGGGTAAGAATGCCAATACCTCTTAAACTAGAGGGTGTAAAACTCTAATATCCAGTCCCTTAGAAATCTTTTAGGGGGAACTGAGTGATACCGCATTGGTCTTTGGATGAAAAAAATACTCTGCCGTAGTCTTGAATGACTTGTGGAACTTGTGGACAGGGGGTGGTTCAGTGGTGCCAGGTCTGGGTATGATTGTCCACCTAGTAACGCATTAGAATTCCCCTGCTACATCCATTGTCTTGGGGGGAGAGGGTGGGAGGGCTGTGAAACTGATGTTGGGATGATCAGTAGTTCTAAAGCAAAACTAAATGTAGGAAGTGGGCAAAATATGATATTCTTATCAAGACTATAGACAGGTTTTGCTGCTAGAGGCAAAATGAACTACTTCTGGTGTCTTCTAGCTTTGCCAGTCTGTAGGTTACAAGAGATGCTGGGGAAAAAATGGTGCCTGTCCGTGGTAATTCATGTAGCTCTTACTCTGTTACTTATGTTGCTGTTAGAAGTAGCGGCTATGATCCTTATAATTTATCTTTTTTTTTTTTTTCCCCCCTCCTTTCCTTTCCCCTCCACTTCATGTCAGTATGACTTCTCACTGGAAAAGAAAACAATCGAGTGGGCTGAAGATATCAAAAAAATTCAAGCTGCCCAGAGAGAAGCTGAACGCAAGGCAGAAGAAGCGCTAGCAAACTCAAAAGCGGCTCCAGAGGACAGCAACAAAATGGGGTTCTCAGAGGGACCTTGCCCTGAGGCCATGCCTCCTCCTATTAATCCCATCCTCGCTAGCCTGCAGCACAATAATATTCTTACGCCCACGCCAGCTAACAGCAGCGCTGTGAAGCAAAAAGTTCTCAGTCCACCTTGTCCAAAAGCAGACTTCAACCCAGCTGATTTTGAATGTGAAGAAGACCCATTTGACAAACTGGAATTAAAAACTATCGATGATAAGGAAGAATTAAAAAATATTCTTGAAATTCACGTTGGTACTACTGGGCCAGTTGTTGCCCAGCTTTTAGATAATACTTTGCCCAAAGGAGGGTCTGAGTCTGTGTTGCAAGATGAGGAGGTTCTGGCATCCATAGAAAGGGCCACGCTGGACTTCAAGCCCCTTCACAAACCCAATGGCTTTATCACTTTACCGCAGTTGGGAAACTGTGAAAAGATGTCCTTGTCTTCCAAAGTGTCCCTGTCCCCTATCACTTCAGTGAGCAGTATCAAATCCTTGTCCTTTCCCAAACTTGACTCCGATGAGAGTGATCAAAAATCATCAAAGCTCACGAGCACTTTCCACAGCACCTCCTGTCTCCGCAATGGCACTTTGCTCAGCTCTTTGCAGACCTGTGCTCAGAGTAAAGCTAGTGAACTGAATGGACACCATATGGTTGGTCTTTCAGCTTTAAATGAGGACAGTGGCATGGAGACATCAACATTATCCTCTTCATCCAGGCTGCCTTCCCTGGCTGTGTCGACAGTTTGTACAGAAGAATCATCATCTCAAAGCACAGCAACTACGGTAAACATGCAGTGGATTAGAATTGGGGTGGCTGGGGAGATGTGGAGGTGCGGAGGCAAATGTTACTTCTAAAATGTCCTGTGGCTTTGGTTTTAGTTTCATTTAATGGGAGTGATGTGTAGATCCTCTTAATTTACAGGACAAATTGATCAGTCCAACAGGTCTTCATGCTGGCAGTTCTGAACCTCAGATTATTACTCTGCGAGTTTCCCCAAAATCAGATATTTTTAGATGAATTCTGGTGATTTTTCTTTCAGCTTTTCACCTCTTATTGTTTGTAGCTGCACACCTTTGAGCTAAGTGCATAATATACCTTTTTTGTACGGTCCTGCATTCTGTGTTATCCAACTGAGATATATCCAGTTCTGAAGTGCTATTAGTTTTTGAGTTAAATCTTTTCTAGATTTGTTCCTTGGCTTGCTTATTTATTTCCTGGAAATAATGGGAAATGCAGGCTTTTCAAGGAATAAAAGCAATAATAGATTAAAAAACACAGATGTGCTCTGTTATTCAGGAAAGAAAAAAGTGCTTGCAGTTGACCTGCAGTGAAATAAATGCCCGCCCCCCCCCCCCCCCCCCTTTTTTTTTTTTTTTTTTTTTTTTTTTTTTCTTTCTTTT